GCCCCCGTGCCCCCGCGCCGCCTCCCCGCGCCCGCCTGCACGCCCGCGTCCTTCCGCGTCTCCCGCGAAGCGCGCTCCGCCCCTGTCACCTGACCGAACTGTCCCGGGAAAAGGCGAGGTCCCAGCCCCCCAGGGAGGGGCGGCGGCCTGGGCCCGGGAGCCGGACGCCCCGGGAGGGCAGCCTCGCTCCGCGTCTCCGGAGCTTTCTTTTACTCCCGCGCCAGCCCTCTGGGGGCTGGGCCGAGGCTCGCGGGCCGTCCCTCTGTCCCTCTGTCCACGAGGAGAGTGACTCTGGTTTGGGGGCTGCGGGAGCGACTCTCTCCTCCAGCTGCGCGACCGTCACTAAAACCTCCCGAGGGGACCGCGCGAGCAGCACCCCCGGGTGGAACCGTGGACCCGGAGGCCGAGACGGGAACCTGAAGCGGGGCATCCCGGCTCTTCCAGGCGGGAGGCGCCGAAAACAACCCAGATCGCGCCCAGCTTCCGAGTCGGAATCGGGTGAAATTCCAAGTTTCTAATTCAGGTCGGGGGCCCAGGACGTGCATTTCCAACCAGTTCTAGTTGCTGCTGTTGCTGGTTCAGGCTCCAGCCTCAGAACGACTGAATCAGAAACCGGGGTGAAGGCGCAGCCCCGCCCCTCTGCTCCTGCAGAGCCTCTCCTCCCTCGGGGGCCAGTGCACGGGGCGCCCCGCCCTGCTTCCCGTCACCACCTCCCTCCCACGCAGTTTGCTCCCGCTGTGTGTTCCATTAACACCTCATCCCAGCCTCTAATGGAGGATCCAAAAAGTGCCTGTAGCTAGGAGCATACAGCTCTCATTGCTCATTAGGCTGCGAGCTTCCTGAGGGCAGGGACCCTGACCCTCAGTTACGTGGTCCCCGCCCTTAGAGCAGAGCCTAGCGCAGGGCGGCGCTCAAAGCATGTCTGTTGAAGTTCTGATCGTGAAGTCTTATGAAAGAACAAACAAGATGTGGACTCACAGAAACTTTAGCATCATAATTTGTGGCCCAACATTTGGATTTTTGCAGTTTGAAATCTGAGTCTACTTAATAGCTCATGACTCTGCACCTTGGACTTGGAAACTGCCTGCAGAACCCACGGCCTGTCTGTGCTGATTTCTGCTGGTAAGTCACCCAGAGGTTTCTTTCTACAAGCCTGGACCTGAACTGGGACGTTGACAGATGTCTAATCATGTTACCCATGGTCCCCATCTCACAGTCCCACCGCCCACCAATTAGAAAACAAGCAATGCAAGTGTGTGGTTTTGTTTCCCTTAGCAAGCATCCCTTTGCTACAACTTATACCTTAAACAAACAAACAAACAAACAAACAAATCCTGTTCTCCCCCTCCCACCTTGGCACTTCTTCAGTTCATACTGTGAGCTACCACCCTGGATTGCAAATCATATATGGATACAACTCTTAATTCCTTTTGGGATTTTTCTTAACAAAGGAAATGACACTTAGTAGCTGTTGCCTTCACTGTCCTATCTCTGCAAAGACATAGGAGGAGCAGCTGCCGCTGGCACCCCAGGTATAAGGGCATTCACCCCCTTGATGCAGTGTTAATGACACCCCAGGACCACACCTGCTCCATAAGGACCCCGGTTTTCCCAGGTGGAGGGTCCCCTGGAATAGAGGGCTCAAGGAATCCGCTGAACATGCACTACCAACCACAATAACCCCAGTTAGCGATACAGTCGGTGACGATTTTTATTATTTAGTCTTGGATCCTAGAATGACCTAGGACCTCAGTGGCACATTTTAACAAAAAGGTGGGCCTTTCCGTCACTGGGCCTTGACGTCCCTTGAAACAGAGGCTTGTGTAATAAGTGCCAAAGACATTTTTTATAGCACAATGAGATGGTGAGTGCGCAAAGGGACGGTAGATTTAGGTGATAGTGCAGCAGGGGGGCCCTGTCCTCCCATCGAGCATTTGCCCATGTGAACCCCACATTTTGAGGTTTCCATTTTTCAAACAAATTTACTTATCACTCAATAATTATTTACATTTTCATGTATTTTGGTTAATCGGTGCTAATCAGACCTTCTGATCTACCTAAGTGCCACTTGGGCCATTTATCATTTCATTTGAAGGCAATGAAATTTTTTTAGTCAGTAAGTACAACCTTATAAAAATTACAATTTCTGTAGGAAATACTGAAAGTAGATTAAAGACCTTCCTCAGTGCCCTTAAGGACACATAAGAATCCCAGAATATCACATGGGGAACCATTGATACAGGTTTTGGAATAAATAAGAAGGAGATTTATTTGGAAATAAAAGACTCTACTCCATATGTATTTGTTAAATGACTAAAAGAATGAAATCTATAAAATATTTTAAACTTTTTTTTTTAATTTCAGAAAGAGGAAGGGAGTGGGATAGAGAGCTAGAAACATCAGTGATGAGAGAGTGTCACTGATCGGCTGCCTCCTGCACGCCTCCTACTGGGGGTCAAGTCGGCAACCCCTACATGGGCCCTGACCGGGAATCGAACCAAGATCTCCCGGTTCATGGGCTGACGCTCAATCACTGAGCCACACCAGCCGGGCAATATCTATGAACTATTTTAAAACATGGTCACTCACAGAGAGAAAAGCATGCAATAGATTGCACCTCATACTTTATAAGATAATGGGCTACAAACCTACAGTCTCTGCACTTAAAGCCGCTGCTCAGTGAGCAGTGGGGCCACAGCACATTAAGGCTTAAACTCTGTATGTAAAGGTTTTGATAGAGGACCCAGAGATCTGAGAAATGACAGATTCCCCAGGTGCACGTGGCTCATTTTGGGGGGCTTGGGCCTCAGTGGGGAACTCTGCAAGGAGCCCCTCATCCTATCCTGTTTGAGGTCACCGTGAGATGGCAGATGAAGAAATTAAAAGGTGTTTGTCCCTGTAGCAACAGGTGTTCCTCACTGTGAAGCCATCACAGTCAGCAGCCACGTGCTGGGCGGCGGCAGGGACACGGGGTGCTTGCCACGGCCGCTGCTCCTGATCTCCCCGCAGAAGAGGGCAGGAGGCTAGCCCTGCACAAGCTGTCGCTGCCGGAGGAAGTCGCCACGCCCCTGCTGTCCTCCCAGGGACACCATTAGCTGCCCAGGGGGAGCTGACGGCTGAGTGAGGCGCTCGAGGACAGTTTCCTGTCTCCAGGAGGGAGCCGGATGACTGCCGCCCACCAGCCTGAGCAGATACCAGAATTCCTCGCCAGTGGACAGGGAAGTGAAACATTTGCTCAGCACTGACATCAGCACAGCCTCTCTCTGGAAACGCAGAAGAGCAGCGTCCAAACAACCTGAGGCTACTTCATTCTTTATGTGGTAAATAAGCCTGTTTAGGGTAGAACAAGCAGATGACAGGGGGCAATGACATCCCCCTTTTACTGGCGGGGGAGGGAGGAAGGAGGAGGGATGAAGGGAGGAGGCCACAGGGCTCCGGGGAGGCCGCAGAGCAGAGCACAGTCTGAGGGCACAGATTCGCGGCCAGGCCACCCCATTCCCACGCCGGCTCCCCCCCTGCCACGGGGCTGTGCCATCCCGGGGGCGTCGCTCCACATCTCTGGACCTGAGTTTCTGCACCTACTGGCTGTGAATGGTAACAGTGCATCCTTTCATAGGATTGCTGGGAAAATGAAATCATGCAAAGCACACAGTCAGCCTCATCTAAGTGTGGACTAGTGTTATACATGTTAGGTAAGTAAGGGGAGGCTGAGGGACCGGCGTTTCTGCCTCAAATCCCACCGAGGACTCCAGAGGAAGCCTCCTAGGCTGACTGGCAGACTTCACTGGGCGAAGCCGTGTTGTTAGGCGAAAGGAGAGGCTGCGTTTAGCTTTCCCCAAAGACCTTGATATTCAGTAATACCCGCAGGACCCAGAACTCGCTGAGAACCTCACAGGAAATCTGGCCGGAGTGGTTCCCTGTGTGGCAGGGCCTCTGTGCCGAGTACACAGAGTTTGCAGCCAAACTCAGAGGACCCCAGCTTACCAGCAAAAGCTGAGGCGGGCCCGAGAGAGACAGCTCGTGAATTATAGCCGCTCCAGGCCTCATCTGGCAACACCAGCAGGACAGTGTGAGTACCCAGCACCTGAGAGCGTCGCCGAAGCCTCCCGGCCTGCAGCCCCTTCCCACCTTCGGGAAAAGCAAAGGCTGGGGAAGCATCTGAGGCTCGGAGCGTTTTTACCCAAAGGAGACCCTCAATATTTGCTAAAGAGGCTGTTTAATTTACAGGACTTGTCTGCATCTAGTCCAGATGGAACAATTAATTTTGGCTACCAACCAACAGGTGTGTGTATGGGGAGAGGGACAGTGTGCCAGTCTGCAAAGGCAGGC